GGAATTCGTTTTAAATACATTTATAGAACAAAATAATATATCGAATTTATCTTATGAAAACAAATGAGTTCTCTTTTAAAAGAACATTGCGGCAAATTTTGAAAAAATATGCATTATATTCTCGCTACCATATTTATAAACGTTGATTTAAAGCGCATATTTAGTTTAATGAAAAATTTCTGGTGGAAAGATCGTAATCGGTTATTCTTTTCAGATTTGGAAGCGGAATTAATGATCAAACATAGTTTACTTGTAAAGATTTTAAGGAATTTGTAACAAAAAATAAAAATTTAAATCTTCTGAAAATATGAACAAAAAATATGTATACTGATTTTTTAAATAATATTTATTCATTTTATATTAAAAAACTAATATACGATCTTCCTTTATTTTACTGTTGCGTATTAGATAAGAAAAATCGCCTGAAAAAAATTAATATTTTTATAAAATATTATTTTTTGAAATATTGTTAAATTTTCCCGCTTTTTATTTGAATGAATCTAGCAACCCTGGTAATAACCTTACTAGCTCACCTATTCTACTGGGTAAATCTTTGATTAAACATGCCATATCTTATCAATTTTTTTGAATCAAAATTCAAAATTATTCTATAAACCAAAAAATATATAATTTTTATTTATAATAAATACATATATTTAAGAATGTAAAATTAATATAGTATATATTTAATAATATTAAATTAAACATTTAAATTAATATTATGAGATAAGGCCCTTAGGTAATCCAACATGGACGTCTTGAATAGTAATCTTCCACAATTTTGTGCACCCTTTGGGCTCTCGCGTTGTTATTTTTTGTGAGCAGCGCCAATAATCCCAAAGAATATTTCTCAAATTTTTAGCAATTAGATTATCTTCGTCTTTGAGACCTAAAAATGAAACAAGATTTTTTTATAATATATGATTTCATACTCTATAAATTTTCATATAGTTGGATGATGAAAACTTTAGGTTCTACATTTTTAAAATAGGTTCGTGAATTAATAGCTTATATATGAGTTATATTTATTAATATATATTATGTATGCAAGAGTGTGTAACTAATTTGTAATAAATGACTGAATTGGTCAATTATATGCAGAATTTATGGAATATTTATACTTTACATAAGCAGTCTCAAATAACCATTCTTTTTGTATTTTGCGGGCCAGCCCTTAAAATGGTTCGCTTTTAAAAAATAGCGAAATTTTTAGGGATGATCCAATGTTTATTTTATAAAAGATTCCTCATCTTTAATTAGAATTTTTATTTATTTTCGCACTTATTTGCACTGCAAATAAAATAAACCTAATTTTTAGAGATGTACTGATATTTTTTATCTAATCGGGCCGATTATATCTACTATTGTCCGATATAATTAAATTTGCCGATACGATTCGATAAAATGGCTTATTAATTTGTAAAAAAATTTCTATTGTATTTATTACCAATACAGCGCATTACAGAAGAAATTAATGGAGAAAATGAGAATCACTTAAAAAGGAACTTGCTAATCATGATGAGCGGTATACAGGCGTTCAGACTATGAAGGATGCGATGTATAAAAATCACAATACATTTTTCTTATATTTATAATGGAAAAATTAACTTACTATCTAAAATTTTGCCCCACTTTAAAACAATATTCAATCAATAAAAATTACTTTTAGAATGCATTAACAGAAACTTTAGTGAGGTAATTAATTCAGTCAGTTTTTATAAAAAATTTAATTTATTTATATATTATTTAGTATAAAAAATCAAAATATGAACATGAAAGGAATTCCATCAATACCAGCAACCAATTCAACTTATTTAGTTTGGGGATCTTATGCTGATGATGTTAAAGTAAATGAAGAGTCTAATTTAATTAACAATACCATCAAAATTGCCCGCATTTTATTGAAAATGATCTCAAGAACCAATATTTAAAGAATATGATAATACCCCAGCAGATCCTTTAAAATATTTGGCTGTGAACTGCCATAAATATCCCACTCTTTCTAAACTTGCTCATCAATATCTAGCAACACCTGTCATAAATATATCATCAGAATCTGTTATTAGTAAAGCTGGTGATATTGGTCGCCTCTCGGACAAACTAGAAATTTTAGATCTTCGATATATTAATTAAATATTTATTTAAATTTTTTAAATATATTTGTTCCTGACCACATCTGGCCCATTGGTAAATCTTTTATTTGGGATTATATGTGTCTCATCCTTCCCCTACAAAAGCCTCAGCAATTTCATATTCGCGCCATTTGCAACTTCTTCCAAACCGACATTTTACTCCTATCACCTTTAGTTTAAAAAATTTAACTCACAAAATTAAATAACAAACACGAACCTAGGAAATTATTATTCCGGCAGACCATACAAATAAACATTTTTAAATTTAACTATTGTACCGTTTTAGGAACCCAATCATGTTTTTCTCTAAATTATTTTGGTTCAAAAATTATTTATTATTTCTTTATATATAGCGTTATATAATGCTTTTTAGTTTTATTTAATTATACTTTCATATATTAGAGACAAATTAATAAATAGTATATTGACGGAAAAAAAGTTACTATATAAATAAATGAATATAATGTTATTATTATTATATAAATAAATGATTTATTAATAAAAATATTTTCTTTACTTTTGCACATTTAAAAATTAAGTATGCATAAAGAGCACAATTAGATTATATCGGTTCGGTAATAGGCAGAATACATTTAATATAGGATCGAATCGGCCTCCAAAAAGTGGTATCGATACACTCCTACTAATTTTGCTGTGTATGTTAAAATTCACGGAGTTGAGGAGTTAATTGGTAGTGAATTCTAAAGAGAAAAGCGACATATTCTTGAACCCTTGATCGAATACTAGGAGACCTGGATCGGAAAAATGTTAACGAAGGAGAGGATGTGACTTTTTTTTTAGCATTTTCTTATAGAATTGATACAATTCTACGCTTTGCATGCTCTGAATACTAACAATGCAGTGGAAGGTTGGCATCTTAGTTTCTCTTCATATAAAATTATCATTATTCAACTCAGTAATAATTATCCAACTATTTGAAAATTTAGAATTGTGAATATGAAATTATATTATGTTATGTTATTAACTTTAAAAAAAACCTTGTTACATCTTTAGCTCTCAAAGATGAAGATAGTCTAAATTAAAGATCTGCAAAGTTAGGACCGAGTCCGGCCCGGCTCGAACGGGCTTCGGGCTGGGCTCGGGCTTAATTTTATATAAAATAACCGGATTTGGGCCGGGCCTTGTAAAAAAAATTCGGGTCGGACCTTAGAAATTTTTTTAAATATATCTAAATTTATCAATTTTATATTGAATATTTTATGTAAAATAAAAATATTTGATTTTATTTATTGAAACTAAACGACATATAACATATGTCTTTTATTTTAAGTAATTATAAATATTAATTTCTATATTTAAATAAATTCGGGCCTAACCAGGTCGGTAAATTTTTTTAAAAAAAGTTCGGGCCGGGCTTGAAAAATTAGGCCCCGATGCAGATCACTAGTCTAAATAGCTATAAATTGGAGTAATATTTGGGACTATTGGCTCCGCTCAAAAAACGAATGAGTTGAAGGGTCTGAAGGGTGTACAGGATTGTAGAATACTATTCAAGGCCCATGTTAGTTCACCTAAGGGCCTTTCATAATATTAATCTTAATGTATAATTTAATCTTATGCTATATTATTTTAATTCTTATTATATACAATGTTCATATGCAATTTTTATGAATACAAATTATATTTTTTTGATTTATGGAATAATTTTATTTGATTACAATTCTTTAAAATAAAATATGGCCTGTTTAATCAATAATTAACCATATAGAATGGGTAAGCTGGTAAGGCTATTAACTTAGTATTTTTTTATTTTTCTAAATTTTTTCATCTTATTGCTTTGTAAGAAAATGTTGTTCTTGGTTAAATTTTTCATAAAATATAATACATTACTAAACTTATATTTATAACGCATTATAGAATATATATTATTAAATTTTAGCTATAATAATATGATAGTAACTACAAAATTAGTTTATTTTAAAAATCAAAGAAAAATAAGGACGAGTAAGGCTAAGAAAGCTCTTTGGAAAGGAGACCGCCGTTGAGCTAATATAGTTAGCTTTGAAGTTATACTAGAAGATCGGCGACGAGCTTTGCAGTTGTGAGATCCTAAATCTTTGAAGTAATATAAGGCAAGTTTATCAAAGGAAGTTAAAGTAGCGGATATAATTGAAATGACAACATGATCTGAAATTTCCAGATATTTTGCGATTTTGAGCTGTTCTTTTTGTTCAAGTAAGTATTAGTTTGGTTGGATGGGGTTGATGGTTCTATGCAGGAATAGTTCCTGTTGGCCCTTTTTCCATGGGAGCAGGAAGGTTCCATCAAAGGGCTTTTCACCGGATCTAAAAATTCCTGATATTCGAGTATGCCGGGTTATGGCTGAGGATGCGGCCTTTACACGATCTCCAGTGCAAACTGTGCCTTCCTTTGCTGTCTGTAAGTTCTGAAACTAGAGTATGTGAGGGAAGGTTATCGTATAATTAAAGCGGATTTCAATATCTTGGGTATGCTCATTTTTGGTGAATTGTAGTTGAAGATTAGTAGAAGAAATACCTTCAAAATTGAGTGTCCGGATCCATTAATTAAAAAATGATGAGGGATCGGTCGTTTGGTAGAGTGCTTGATAAAAGAGATTCAACGCAGCGAGCTACAACTGTCTATCCCAATCGTTCTGTCTATTGGATAGATAGGATCAACGAAACACATCTTCCCTAACAAATAAAAAATCTCTAATTGAATAGATTATCTAGCATCTCTATAAATGTTTAAATATATATTAATCTTAATTAATCAAAAATATTATATTAAAACAAAATGCACAACATAGTATGCAATTTAATTCTGGTTATATTATCTTTAATTACCTAAAATAAATGATTTTCTATTTTACATAATTTTGAACAGCCCTATCTTTGTGACTTGGAAAATAGGACGCGATAAAAAGCTTAGAGGTTGTATGGGAACATTCACTGCCATCGATTTACATTATGGTCTCAGGGAATATTCCTACACTAGGTAATAAAAAACTTTATAATTTTCACGGGAGAGAGTGAGTGGGATGCTAGGCAAAATATATGTTGTATCAAATAAATTTACTAATAGGAGTTACAAATCCTATATTGCATTTTCCCCTTGCTTACATATGTGCATAGTGAAAATATGGTATACAGTGTTGTGATGATTTAATGAAACATATTGACAATTAAATTAAAACTCATCCATATAAAATTATTTTCTTTGCAAAAATAATTAAAATAACAAAAGGAGTAATAAAAGAATTTTCAATAATTCTTTGTCTATATTTTAATTATTTTTGCAAATAATTTTATATGGATGGGTTTTAATTTAATCGTCATTATGTTTCATTAAATCATCACAACACTATATTTAAATTTAAAACAAAAAAAAAGATAAACAAAGTTTTTTTTTAAAGATATAAGAAACTAAATAAGGCTAATAAGAAAACCCGAAATGCTAAATACGGTGTTTTGCGGATTTAATTCAAAACATTTCCATATTTTTTTATTCGTTTGTAAATAAAATTATTTAACTTGTAAAAATGGATAAGAATATATATTATGTTATTTTAACAATTTTTTGCAGTCAAATAATTTTATTTTCAAATAAATTATAAAATATGGAAAATTTTTCCATCAAATCTAGTCAACACTGCATATTTTAATTTTTTATAGTAAAAAATATGTTTATTAATTTTTGTTTTTCGTATTTTATAATTTAATCCACTTGAATCTTATTTTCCAATTAAAAATGCCAATATTTGCTCTTTATTATCTAATAATAGCAATAATTTTTTTTTTTTCTTTTTTTTTCTTTTTAGCTTTCACCTTTTCTGGTGGTAAGCTTCTTCAACATCTCTCTCCACTTTATGTTATTCGTACAATCTCTTTTATCTATTTTATACTTCTTTATATTGGCTCTAACTTTATGGCCCCATTGAAGTTTTGGCCTTCCTCTTTTACGTTTGCCCATCACTTCCAATCTTTCAACTTTATTTCCTATGTAGTTCATAGGCCTTCTCATTGTGTGCCCATACCACCTAAGTCTGTTTACCATTAACTTAGTCTTAATGGGCACTACCTTTAAACTATTTAGTATTCTTGTACTGCGCACCTTATCCTTTCTTGTTACCCCAGCAATCATCCTCAGCATTCTCATCTCCATAGTTTGTAGACTTCTCTCGTCTGATTCTTTGGTTGGCCATGTTTCCGAACTATATAGAATAGTTGGTTGTACTATGGAACTGTAAATTATTCCCTTTAATTTGTGTGGGATTCTTTTGTCAAATAGCACTCCAGATAAAGATCTCCACTTTAACCACCCTTGATTAATCTTATTCTTTATCTCTTTTTCTATTGTGCCGTTTGTTTGTATAGTGGAGCCCAAATATTTGCAGCTTTCAATTGCGGATATCTGCCAATCATTTATATCAATACTCTCCGTTTCATCTCCTCCTATCACCATATACTCCGTCTTTTCTCTATTTACTTTTAATCCGTGCGTTTCTAGGATATTTATCCAATTCACTAACCTTTCTTTCATTTCATCCTTGGATTCGGCAAGTATTACAATATCATCTGCAAATATCATATTCCACGGGACTGTTTGAGGTATAGACTGTGCTAATACATCTATTACTGTAATGAAGAGAAGTGGGCTGAGAGCCGACCCTTGATGAACTCCTTCGGCTATTGTGAAGCCTGCTGAAGTACCTGTTGTGCTACGGACCATTGTTGTATGTCCCATATACATATCCTCTATTATTCTTATATATTTTTCGGGAACTTTTTTGTGGCGTAGCGCCCACCAGATAAGTTTTCTTGGGATTCTATCGAAGGCCTTTTCTAGATCGAGAAAGACCATGTGTAGCTTTTTGTTCTTTTCCCTGTATTTTTCACTCATTTGCCTAATTGCATGGATAGCATCGGTTGTTGATCTTCCAGGCATAAAGCCAAACTGTGTCTCTCCTATTTCGATTATATCTCTTAATCTTTTTTCTATTATTTTTTCGTATAGTTTTAGACAGTGTGACATTAGTTTTATGCCCCTGTAATTTTGACAATTGTGTGGATCCCCTTTATTTTTGAAGATAGGAACTAGATAGCTCTGCCTCCATTTTTGGGGGACCTCTTCATTTCCAAGTATTTTATTGTACAGATTTGTGAGGAGATGTATTCCATCATCTCCTAGTGCTTTAAGGCTTTCTATTGGAATATCGTCTGGACCCCTAGCTTTGTTGTTTTTCATATGCTTGAGGCATGTGATTATTTCTTGTTCTGTTATAGGTTGTACAAGGTTTTGACAAGGGGAGTGTTCGTCGAGATGCAATATGTGGGAATTAAAGTTGAGAAGCTCCTGAAAATATTCTTTCCATCTATTCATTATTTCTTTTTCCTTTATTATCAATTTCCCATCTTTATTTTTGATTACTTTCGGAGCTCCGTTTATATCCCTAGAGTTCTTTTCTCGCTGTTTGGCTAATCTGTATATTTTATTTTGCCCTTCTTTGGTATGTAGATCTTCGTACATGTCATCGTATGCCATAGATTTTGCCCTAGCCACCGCCTTTGTAGCTAATCTCTTGGATTTTTTGTATCTTGACTTGTCATCTGCATTTTTGGATTTGTACCATATTTTATAAAGGGCTTTTTTCTCCTGTATAGTGGTTTGTACCTCTTGATTCCACCACCATAGTTCTTTGTGTGATTTGTTGCCTCCTCTTGTCAAGCCTAGCGTCGATTTTGCAGTGTCTATTAATCTGGATGAAAGGTCTGTCCATATTTTTTTCACTGACTTGTGAGCAATTTATTGTTTCAATGTTTGCATTGATTGCAAAGGCATCTGTCATTGTTTTTAATTTGCCCCATTTGATGCATGGTTCCAGTTTTATCTTATTTTGAGTGGATTTATTTGAGATTTGTAAATCCATGATTAGTAGCTTGTGTTGCGCGGCGATATCTTCTCCTGGGATGACTTTGCAGTCTATTACATCTTTTAATCTTCTGCGAGAGATAAGCATGTAATCTATCTGTGTTTTCCTAGTACCACTTTCATATGTTATTAAATGACTGTCTTTTTTCCTATAGTAGGTGTTGGTTAAGGCAAGGTCGAAGGCTTGCGCAAATTTCAGTACGTGCTCTCCTTCATCATTTCTTTCTCCGTATCCAAAACCACCATGATGCCTTTTGTAGCTATCTCTTGCTTTCCCAACATGCGCATTTAAGTCACCACCAATTATGACTAGGTCATCCTTAGGGATTTCCATTACAGCTTCATCAAGGATAGCTCTAAAGTCATCTTTCTCTTCTTCCTTGCAACCCGTTTGAGGAGCATATACTGATAGGATGTGTATTATTGATTAACCAATGCAGAGTTTTATCTTCATTAGTCTATCAGAGATCCTGTTGACTTCTACTACTGAAGAGGTTAGGTCTTGGCTGAGGATGATGCCGACACCGTTCCTATTGCTAACAAGTCCATTATAGTACAATTTATACCCATCTCCAATCATCAAAGTTTTCTGTCCTTTCCATTTTCATCTCTTGTATGCACGCTATATCAACTTTTCTCCTGTTCAACATTGATGCCAATTCTCTCGTCTTACCTTTAAGCGTCCCAATATTCAAACTTGCCAGTCTTGTCTTCTTTGCTTTGACCTTTACTTTATTTTTACAGGATGGAGGTCTACATCCTGCGCGTCGCATGGAGGGAACGCCCTAGCTTTCATATTCATATTTTCATTTGTGTCCTTCATTTTGTTTATTGGACAGGTATCCTTAGCACCCGGCTGTCCAGGCCTGTCGGTGACCGGGGTGTCATCTCTAAGCTCCGAAATTCATCATACCATATGTCTTTACACATCAGTCATCGAAGAAAAACTTGAAAGTTAGAAAACTTGAAAGTTAGAAAACTTGAAAGTTTTTATGGTTCTTACCAGGATTGAACCCGCGTCCTTGTTCATGCAATAATTATTTAAGTAAAAATCTTCAATCTTTATTAACAGTTTAAAAAAACTAAAAAAATTGGAACAAATGCTATCTTTTTCCAAGATAACAAATGAAAGTCAAAGATATATCAACGTACAAAGCCCACTACAACGGTCAGCAAATTTAAACGCGAAATATTTTTAGAAATTAATGGAAATTTAAAGTGACTCTATTCAGAAAAGGAAGTTAAAAAAAGGATTTTTCAAAAATTGAAATAATGGATTTATTAATGCCGATAATACTTTAATCATCAAGTTATAAAAATTTATCCCCCAATGCTCAAATAAATAAAAGAACAATAAAGAAATATATTAAAAATTTTGGTTGATTTAAAAAAAAAGAGCCAGATAAGAAGCAATATCAACAGACCAGTATAAGTGCCAAGGCGTTTACCAGATCAACATGTAAATTTATTCCAGCTTTGTCTAAGAAATATAATATTTTTTGGGAATATTTAGATTTTTTAAAACAATACACCTGAAGAATATTTATTCCTGGTTATAGGTTTGATCTTAAACTATTGTATTGGTTTAAATCAGTGTCGAACAGGCTTAACGCTTCAGTTCAATTTTGGTTTTTAATTTAAAAATTCAAAGCGGGTTAATTTCATTTCGGGAATTTTTAACAATATATCAGTACATTCAATATAGAAATTTTCGCACAAATCTTATCATCATCACTAAGTAATACCTGTAATATATAAGGATTATACTGTTTATATTTAAATAAATGGCAATTCTATAAAATAAATTTTTTTAATATAAATCCAAAATAAATAATTTACTAAGCTTTTAATTAACCTTGTATCTTGGGTCCAGGTATATGGCAGAGGAGAATTTCATTTTTTATAAACCTTTCTTTTCTGTTCTTAAGACAAGAATATAGTGATTGAGAAAAATGGTTTGAATTTTTTTCTAGTTCAACAGCATCTTAACCATTCTGCATAAAAATCTGTCAGTGTTAATTGTTCTGATTGGAATCGTTTTGTTGCGATTTTTAGTTTTTAAAATCTCAACAATCGTTATTATCTCTTTCCAATCTTCAGTCAATAAATAATCAGATTGATCTGAAAAGAAATCTTCGATATTGGGTTTTAGTGAAATCAGCCTTTCAAACATATCATGGGTTGAATGCCATCGGTGGCAATCTAACACAGGCTTAGGGAGTTTCATTTTGATAAATGGGATGTCTTTTATTGCATCTTGAAGTGCAAGCTGAAGTGTATGAGCTGCACAACTTGCACTATAAATCGGATAGGATAAAGTAGTTGATAAGAAAGTATTCTGTATATCATCGATATCATATTTATATATATTCACTTCCATATTTTCATCATTAGCTGATTCCCTCCTTATATCATAATCAATTTCAGGCTGCAAGAGCTTTATTTTTATAAAATCTACACCATTATCAGAAATAATTGTGTATATTTGTTCAATATTAATAAATTTTTGTAAAGTTCTCCTCTCTTTCAGCTCTACAATTCCAAGAGTTCTCAAAATTATAATAGACTCTTTCATTATTCTATTAATAGTTTAGGATAAATTTTCTTTGTTAATAACTAAATTGAACTCAGATAAAATGGATTTCTGATTATTTGAAATTCAGAATCTTCAATAATTGATAGAGGCCTACCTTTTACAGTAACAAGTTATATGATAGAACAAACATCAAATCATTAGATGTTAAATTTATATTTTTTTTTTGGAAAAAGGTTTCTATATTAATTTTGAGTTTTTTTGCAAATAACACTTCTTGATATATTTTTTTTCATTCAAATAATTTAGATATTCATTGTTGTGATTTCTTTCCAGATGTCTTTCTAAATTTGACAAATGATTATCAGACATTTTTATTATTTGCAATATGAGCATACGATTTATTTTCTATTGTATCAAGAGTAAAATGCTTTTCAAATATGATTTCATCTTTGATCTTAAATCTATACAATAAAATGATGAATAGAGGAATATTTATTAAACTTTAAATTTTTAAATAGCAATGATTTCATAGAATTAAAAAACAGATATATAAATATAATTTTATTTATAATATGCACCATATGGTAAAAATTAATCTGAACAAAATAAATGAATAGCATATAAAAATTATAAAATGATTTTAATAAGTTTGTAAAACTGCCCTACTCTTTGTTTAACAATTTTTAAGTTAGATTTTGAGAATTCTTTAAATTAACAATATCCAATATAATAATTTTTCCTTTAATAATCTTTCAGAATAAGTTATAAATTAAAAATAAATGGCGCAAATGAATTTAATTTTAAAATTTATTAACACTCCAATAGAATCTTTGATAATAAATTTAAAACATTTTATAAATGGCTTAAATGAATTAAGTTGTTTGAAATTTATTAACACTTCACTTAATTAGAAATTTGAAAATATTATAAAATCTCAACTAAATTATTAATATTTGTATTTACAATTATATAAATATGATTATAAACAATACACTGAACCCGGGTTCTCGAGTTAAATTCATTCGAAAATTTTTTAAACGGAATTCAGGTTCGGGGTTCAAATTTTTTTCCAAAACCCGGGTTTTTCTCCGGGTTCGGTTCGAATCCCTGTATATCGGTTCCCTTTTAAAATATTTTTAGAAGGGTTGGTTTGGAATTTTAAAATCGTTTTTCGGTTTCGCCTTTAGTTTATCCTTGTTTAAATAGTATTTTCCCTATATTTTATAGCTATTGGTTTATTTTATATTGGGATATAATGGTTTTACATACATCATAAAGAAGAATAAAAATCATTATTTTTATGATTATAAAAACTTTTGATTCTGTTTATAATATACTTCATCATTTTCATAAAGGATTTAAGTTGGATAATTGTCCTTGTTCGTTAAAAAAGTTTCCAATTCATATTTAAGTTTTAATTTTTCATATCTTTGACTCCTACTGCAATATCATGAATAATTAAGTGATATGAATGTATTTCTATATATATATATACTAAACATATACGAAAAAATCGAGTTATTAAATCTTTCTATTGTTTGTTCCCAACACAATTAATTACATGACACCCTTGCCAATTTACATCAAAAAAATTGTAAAAGTTTAAAACGACCAAAATTTTTTGTCCCTTTCGCATTTGGAAAAAATGATTTTTTCCGAGCCATTTTTTGGGCTCGCGCTCTAAGTTAAGTCAATATTTTTGGCTCGCGCTCCAAGGTTGAGCTGATTTTTTTTAGCTCGAGCATAGGCTGTTCCGATATTTCGACTTGCGCTCCACAGCTGAACCAATTTTTCCATTAATAGGCTAAGCCGTTTGAAGTCGGCTTGAAAAGAGTGATATTGCATAACTAGTTTCACATCCCGTCTATTCGCAAAATTAAAATTCCACTCCCGGCAAAATTTTATTAACATCTCATAATTTTTACTTAAAATTAGCTAATTCTCTAAAAATTCTTTGATTCTAATCACCCTTTCAATATGAATTGCATGTAATTTAAAAGCAAATATTAATATGGAAAAGACATAACCTATTCAAGTTTTTGCTATAGGGTTCATTGAATTTTTAATTAGGATCAATAATTATGATGTTAATTTTTGATTCCTTATTTCATATAACTTAGATAGATTTAAAAGAAAGAATGAATGAATGAAAGAAATAAAAATAAAATATTTTAAACGAATATTTTTAAAGTGCATTTAGAGATACGAGATTCAATCCCATAAGCAAAGACGAATTGAATAGGCTGCATTGTTCCGTGTCTCTCCTCACGCATTTCGAACCCGTCAATCATTTCCTCGATTGGGAGGTTTGTTTATAAAACATTTAAAAATATCTATATTATCACTTATGTTATATTACAGCCAAGCATTTTTTTAAAAGACTTAGCATAGCAAAACTATTCTATATTTGAATTTTCTTTAAAAATTTGATTCAATTTTCCTAACTAACCCATGTAGTACATAATATTGACTTTTTAGGAAAATTGTTGACGGGACATTATTCTATTAATTAGAAAAGTAAAACTAATTAAAAAAATTGTTGAGGGCTATTCGTATCGAAATAGATGGAATAGATTTTGTTTAAATATAATCTTTTATCAAAAAGAAAATTTAATAAACACTTCACTATAATATACAAGCTGCAAAGTACTAAATAAATATTGGGTAATTTGAATACGAATAATGATATTAGTGATCTGCATCGGGCCTAATTTATCAAGCCCGAGCCCGAAATTTATTTTTAAAAGTTTTGCCCGGACCGGCCCGAACCCGAAATTTTTTTAAAAATGTTTTTCCGGCCCGGCCAGAACCCGATTTTTTTTTGAAAAATATACCGGTCTGGCCCGAATTTATTTAAATTAGAAATTAATTTTTATAATTACTTAAAATAAACGATATATGTTATATTGCGTTTAGTTTATATTAAATAAAATCAAATATTTTTATTTTACATAAAAAATTCTACATAAAATTGATCAAATTAGATATATTTAAAAAAAATTTTAAGGCCCGACCCAACCCAGCTCGTTTTTTAAAGAATATTAGGCCCCGCTCGAAGCCCGTTCTGGCTAGGCCTACTTTTGCAGATCTCTAAATGATATAGCTGAATATTTCTATAATCATTTTTCTTACTTTTAACGTTTACTATTAGGGCTTTTCTAAAGTAATATACTGGTTTCGTTCCAAGTTCAACTTCTCAAAAAAAAACTGATTTAAAAACTTTCACGTGACTACTAAACCCATCTCATCCATACAAACATATCGTTATATAAACCCATTCTTTATAAGTCAGTAAGTCACTAAACTTTGCATATTTTGAATTCCTATTATGGAAAACATAATGTTTTATTATAGATCGGTATCCACGGTATAAGGATAGAATTTTACAATGAAAAGGGAAGCAAAAAGACAGCCACTTATTTATCCGAAGTTCCTTACGAACAAGGTCTATTTTTATATTTTAATTTTTCTTCTTTCGTTAATTTCTTGTTATGGTGCTATGTATCGTATTTTAAGAGATATCACCAGGGTTGTGCAGTATCGTGAATACTTATACTTTTTATATTTTGTATTTATTTGAATAATTTGAAGAGTATTTAGTATTTGGATTAAATACTATAAATTAAAAAGTATCTTATATTTATTAAGATTAGAGATAAATACTATTACATTATAAATTAAATTATAAATATGTAAAACACAATTTATTTATTATAATGTTAATTTTGTGATCTGAGTTAGAGAATATAATCAACTTAACTGGTTCATCCTATATCATTAAAATGAACAACGTTCATACTGAAAATGAAACTGAAGAAATAATTTTGAAGAAGATGATATAGAACTGAAAGAGGCTCCACATTTCTAAATGTCATTTAACTGTAATATACCGAAAGTCTTTAGAAATATCTTCCAATTATAATAAAAGCGCAATGAATTATATGAATAGTTTCATTTGTTTGCTCTATTATATTAATATTCTGTGTCTGATACTAAAAAATACTTTGCAAATCTTTTACGATATTTTTATTTATATAATTTTAAAAAAATGGTCAATAAAATATCCAGTTATTAATGGTACTATAAAAATATAAGTTAATATATTTGTATTTTATTACTATTTTTGAAATTTATTTGTTATATTTTAAAATAAATTTTGTATTTATATTTAAATATTTTTTTTCCCAAGATGTATTCGTATTTATATTCGAATACTTTTTAAGAAAATTTTCCCAACCATGGATATCATATATAATATTACCATAGGAAATGTATTTGATTAGATACCATAGGAAATGTATTTGATTAGAGTAATAATAAAATTATTAAAACATCAAATATATTCTAAAATAAACTTACTTTTAGTCGAATGTTAATCTAATTAATATTCATTCAAAATTCAAAGTATATGTTAATAATATTATTATTCTATTTTATAATTTATTTTAAGAATATTATGTCCATAGTACTTCTTCAGATGAGGATGATTTAACCCTTCCCTGGACCCAATTTTAAACATATTTTACACCAATAAAGAAAATTAAAGGTACAAAGTCTACACTTTGTAAATGTAAATTAGCAGTTCAAACTTAAAAAAGGGTATTATAAAATAAACATTAAAAGAAGTATTCTTTCATAATATTTTGAAAAGTTTAATCATGAAATTTAAATATATGCAATTAAATTATACTATAGTATTGGGCTGGGAACCAACATTAAAAACCCAAGATTAATAAAATATTGGTATTGGTTCAAAATATTATATTGGGTTTTTAAACAATATCTTCTATTTCTCGTTTTAGTATTGCTATTGGTTTAACTTCAAATTGTTAATAAATTTAAAGAATAAAATAGTGATTTAAAAAAAATTTGTTTAAATAAATATGTATTTTTAAATATATATATATATATATCAGAGACCTGCAGAGGTACTATTTGCACGGCCCGGCCCGGTTTTAAATTTTTTAGGCCCGGCCCTTATATTTAAAAAAAAATTTTTTACGGCTCGGCCCAGCCCGGATTTAAAAATTTAAGGCCCGGCCCGGATATTTTTTTAAAAAAATTTCAGGCCCGGCTCGGAATTTTTTAAAATTATATTCGACCTGGTATATACAAAAATTCACCTATGAGGTATTTTACCATATTTTTCAGCGAGTATTAACGCTTATTATTTAAAAAATACATGTAAAAAGCTAATATTTTGAGAATATTATATTGAATTTATAAAAATTATAAAACTGTTATTTATAAAAATGGATATTTTGAGTATATACTATATTTTATATTGCATTTATAAAAATAAAACTAATATTCATAAAAATGGTAATAATATTTGTCATATACTATATTTTATATTACATTTAAAAAAAATAAAACTAATATTTAATTTATAAAAATGGAAAATATTTTGAGAATATAATATATTGTATTTAAGTTACTATTTAATTTATAAAATAAAAATAAATCGCTATTTAAAAAAATGCATGTATAATAAATAGTATTTTGAAAATATAATCTAATTGCACAATATTAATATATTTTTTTTATAATATAAATTTTTAACAAAAGAAGATAATTATATTATATAATATTGTAAAGAAAAATGTTGGATTAAAAACTTTCATGACTCAAGGTAAATATAATAAATGCAATAAATATTTGACAGTTTGCAAAGTAAAAAACCAGCATGATTGACGAAACCCTATACTCAAGAAAGATATTAAAAATTCACAAATTATCATGAAGAAAGAGAAGCATATCTACCTTTTCAGGTTGAAGATTACTTCTTCTTTCTTCAAGAATTCTCCCAGTAGTGGAAAAACTCCGCTCACAGCTTGCACTTAAAGCAGGAATTGCCAATTTTGCTAAAATTGGAAATTCGCTTTGATGAGCCGCCCACCACTCTAACAAATTATCCACCTTAAATGTTTTATCTATTATTTATGTAATTATAATATTCATCATCGGGTATTGACATATTACCAGAATTACCATAGCCCCATTTGTCATAAAACGATTCAGTTTGTTTAACAACAGTCATAATTTGACTGGTCGATGGTATTTCATTTACTTCCTGAGCCTCTTGTAATTTAATATAATCTTTTATATAGTTTTCCGTCATTTTGCGATCTGTCCCTGACTACATACGTAATTGCTTGAATTTGGGACAGAGAAAAAGAGAAATAAAATGATACTTGTGTAAAACAAATTTTTCAATTAAAAAATGCTTTATATTAAGTAAAATCAATTTTATTTCTCCTTTTCGCTTTGAAAGGTATTACAAACTTTAAGAAGTGATATTCCTTTATTTGATTGTTTTGGTAAAATAAATTCTAAAAATTTAGATATGAATTATAAAAAAATATATTAATAATACTTGAATATTGGGGCTTATTTAAGATATTCCTTTATTTGATTGTTTTGGTAAAATATGTTGTAAAAATTTAGATATGAATTATAAAAAAATATATTAATACTTTGAATAAATTTGCAGGAAATTAATAATTAGATCGATCTGTGGGTTGTTAGGTAGTGTTAACTATCACCCAATATTATATTAATCATAACTATAATATAATATAATCTTATAACCATTAACTCATAATGTAAAAATTTTTATAAAAAATATTAAGGCCCGGCCCGGTTTTAACAATCTTAGGCCCGGCCCGTATATATTAAAAAAAAATTTTTAGGCCCGGCCCGGGTATATTTAAAAAATTTAAAAAACGGCTCGGCCCTGGCCGGGTTTAGGGCAGGGCCTGCAGGTCTCTGATATCTTTTGATCGCTAATTTTTATATTTATTTTTTAAGATTATTTTTTACGTATTTTTTTTCTGATATATCTTTTGATCGCTAATTTTTAATATTATTTTTAAATATTTTTTAAGATTATTTTTTACGTATTTTTTTCTGATATATCTTTTGATCGCTAATTTTTAATATTCTTTTTAAATATTTTTTAAGATTATTTTTTACGTATCTTTTTCTCTCTTTTGATCGCTAATTGAGTTTTTTTAAAGTAAATAGGTAAAAATATGTTTTGTAAACATGTTAAATTAATATTTCAGTTAAAGTGTACTATAGAAAAGTGACAATTGTCACAATCGATATTTTTGAGTTTTTTTAAAGTAAATAGGTAAAAATATGTTTTGTAAACATGTTAAATAAATATTTCAGTGAAAGTGTACTATGGAAAAGTGACAATTGTCATAATCGTTATTTTTGAACTTTTTTGAGTTTTTTTAAAGTAAATAGGTAAAATATGTTTTGTAAACATGCTAAATTAATATTTCAGTGAAAGTGTACTATAGAAAAGTGACAATTGTCACAATCGATATTTTTGAACATTTTTGAGTTTTTTTAAAGTAAATAGGTAAAAATATGTTTGGTAAACATGTTAAATAAATATTTCAGTGAAAGTGTACTATGGAAAAGTGACAATTGTCATAATCGTTATTTTTGAAATTTTTTGAGTTTTTTTAAAGTAAATAGGTAAAAATATATATTGTAAACAAGTTAAATTAAAATTTCAGTGAAGATGTACCATAGAAAAGTGACAATTGTCATAATCGTTATTTTTGAACTTTTCTGAATTTTTTTAAAATAAATAGCTAAAAATATATATTGTAAACAAGTTAAATTAAAATTTCAGTGAAGATGTACCATAGGAAAGTGACAATTGTCATAATCGTTATTTTTGAACTTTTCTGAATTTTTTTAAAATAAATAGCTAAAGATATATATTGTAAACAAGTTAAATTAAAATTTCAGTGAAGATGTAACATAGAAAAGTGTCAATTGTCATAATCGATATTTTTGAACTTTTTTGAGTTTTTTTAAAGTAAATAGGTAAAAATATGTTTTGTAAACATGTTAAATTAATATTTCAGCTAAAGTGTACTATAGAAAAGTGACAATTGTCATAATCGATATTTTTGAACTTTTTGAGTTTTTTTAAATTAAATAGGTAAAAATATATATTGTAAACAAGTTAAATTAAAATTTCAGTGAAGATGTACCATAGAAAAGTGACAATTGTCATAATCGTTATTTTTGAACTATTCTGAATTTTTTTAAAATAAATAGCTAAAAATATATATTGTAAACAAGTTAAATTAAAATTTCAGTGAAGATGTAACATAGATAAGTGACAATTGTCATAATCGTTATTTTTGAACTTTTTTTAAAATAAATAGCGAAAATTATAACTCTAGATATAAAAATTTCGGTTATATTTATTATGATTGTGTTAATGACTAAAATAATAAAATATTCTACTATTATAATTAAACTTTACTTTTCACAGCAATCAGAAAGTTTTTAGCATAATGTATAATAGCTCGCAGATGTATAATTAAGGCATTTTTTAAATTAATTTACTTTTTCTAAATATGTTTACTCGGAAATATTAAATTTTTCAAATAAATAAAAATATAAATATAATTG